GCAATACATACATATACAAGGCCATTGGCCTAGACACATGAATATTAGGCCATTGGCCTCATAATCACAAGGCCATCTGCCTAACCGACTTAACAGGCCATCAGCCAAGCAAAAATCACAAGGCCATTGGCCAGTTGTATTTAAGGCCATTGGCCAGTCACATGATTGTATTACAGGCCATCGGCTTCAAACTTTAAGGCAATTGGCCTTCCAGACTACCAGGCCATCAGCCTAGAAAATTACAAGGCCATAAGCCATCTACATCTAAGGCCATTGACCACTCACCTCTCTTACACTTTGTACATATTGTAGGTTAAATTTCAATGTAAATATCCACTGGCCTTATACATGTACATGCATGTATTTCATCTTTGTTCAGTTTTGTTATTTGATGTAATTTGCATGTGCATGTTTTTGATGTTGCAATTTTATTTACATGTGTTGTTCAATACCATAGCTGAGTAGTTCCCAAAGGCAAAGAATAAATGTAGAACTTACAATTGTATAAAATGTATATTTATGTCATTCTGTTGAAAACAAAGATTTATTTTAACTTTTTACAAAGCTTTATATAATGAAAAAAGGAATTGTGTAGTCTTGATGCAGCATTTTTTATTAAGGTTACTGCATGACTCTTAGATTTTTAGAGACTATCTACCAAAAAACTTTTTTCAATACTCGGTGATTTTTTTTTTAGTTTTAAAGAGTAATGAGTAGTTTTAAGCTGCAGTTCTTATTTTTGTACAGATGTACCAACTGGCAGTTCTACATTCTATGTCTCAAACCCATATGAATACAAAATGACTAAGTCAAGAAAAATGAGGCCCAGGGGCCACATCACTCACCTGAGCACTTTGGCTAGGAAAAAGCAGAAATCAATTCAGTCTTTAGAAGTTTAAATATTGGGGGGGGGATGTTTATGATTTGAACTAACTTGAATCTACACTTCCTAAGGATGCTTTTGAATTAATATGACACATAATGGCTTCGCTGTTCTTTAAAAGGAAATTTTTATTGATATATCCTTTATATTCCTTTGTATAACTATGATCCCCTGGTTTGGCCCCCCAGTTCTCCTGGGGGGTCATGATTTTGAACAAATTTGAATCTACATTACCTGAGGATGCTTTAATATTATCATGACCAATCATATTGCATGGCTTTGCTGTTCTTGAGAAGAATTTAAGGAAGCTCATTACACTCACAGTTTATTTTAGATTTTATTACAGCACCACTTATTATGTACATTTCAGATATTCAAATGGAGGTTATGATACCATAGATATATTTTTAGAAATTATTAAAACTTTTTATCTGATTTTAGCAAAAAGTTTTTATTTCAAGCTTATTATTAATAGAATTGCAAGTATTTCAGTGTCAAGTGATGGACATCTTCTTCAGACATGTACATGTAATGACAATACTTCATAATATTCAATATTATTTTTCTTTGAAAAAATAGTTTTCTCCAAAAAACTAATTAATGTAATTTTCTTCTTAATCTGTGCATGAATAATTTGAAAAATCAGTTATAAATAAACAAGGAATATATCTAAATTAATAACATGTGAAAATTGAATGATGAATGTTTTAACGAAATGAAAATTCAGATTTAAAAAATATTTGGTTTAAAAAGTCCACTTGCAAGAGTTATCTTTCCTAATTCCTCCAGACTCAAAACACGAAAGAACTTTTTAACATCTAAAATACAGAATAAGACAAGTTAAAATTTCTAGAGTACATATTTTTTAAACAAGAGGCCCATGGGCCTTGAATCGCTCTTCTGATAAACTGTACAACCTATCACTTCTATTTGAAGCCTCGAAGTATCCTGTATATTTACATAAACCCTTGAAATTCCAATTCACACTCTGAGAACCCAAGATGATTCTAAGCCAATTAGTACCTAAGAATTGGTCATGGTGACCTACTTATCACTTGTCATTCTCTGAGGACCCATCAACTAAGTTTGATGATTCTAAGCCAACTAATACCTAAAATATTTTTTAAAATTATAATCATAAAATTTTATAAGTAAGTCAAAGTGACCTACTTTTCAATTGTTTTACTCCAAGGGCCCAAGATGCATCAACTGACAAAGTTTGATGATTCTAAGCCAATTAGTACCTGTAATATTTAATTAAAGCCATAAATTTTCAAAAGTAGGTCACCGTGACCTACTTTTCAGTTGCTGTACTCCGAGGACCAAAGATACATTGACTGACAAAGTTTGATGATTGTAGCCAATAAGTACCCGAAATATTTAATTACAGCCATAAATTTTCCGAAAGTAGGTCAAGGTGACCTACTTTTTAGTCGACCTACTCCGAAGACCCATGATGCATCAACTGACAAAGTTTGATGATTCTAAGCCAATTAGTACCCGAAATATTTAATTAAAGCCATAAATTTTCAAAAGTAGGTCACAGTGACCTACTTTTCAGTCAACCTACTCCGAGGACCAAAGATGCATCAACTGACAAATTTTGACGATTCTTAGCCAAATAATTCCTAAAAATATTAAATACAGCCATAAAATTTCAAAAGTAGGTCACCGTGACCTACTTTTCAGTTGTTGTACTCCGAGGACCCAAGACGCATCAACTGACAAAGTTTAATGATTTTAAGCCAATTAGTACCTGTAATATTTAATTAAAGCCATAAATTTTCAAAAATAGGTCACGGTGACCTACTTTTCAGTTGTTGTACTCCGAGGACCCATGATGCATAAACTGACAAAGTTTGATGATTCTAAGCCAATTAGTACCCGAAATATTTAATTAACGCCATAAATTTTCAAAAGTAGGTCACTGTGACCTACTTTTTAGTCGACCTACTCCAAAGACCCATGATGCATAAACTGACAAAGTTTGATGATTCTAAGCCAATTAGTACCTGAAATATTTAATTATAGTCATATAAATTGAAAAGTAGGTCACGGTGACCTACTTTTCAGTTGACCTTTTTTGAGGACCCAAGATGCATCAACTTCCAAAGTTTTATGATCATAGGATTTAAAATGTCCAAATTATGCCTCTAAAACGCTTTGAAATCGAATGCCTGCAAAGTTCAAAAAGTAGGTCACTGTGACCTACTTTTTAATAAATGTTTTATGGCCCCAAGATGCATCATCTTACAAGATTTAATGATTCTAAGCCTCCCCGTATTCGAATTAATGACCTTAATTGTTTTAAAAAAGATTAGCCATAAAATTCAAAAAGTAGGTCAAGGTGACCTACTTTTTAGTTGACGTACTTTGATGACCCAAGATGCATCAACTGACAAAGTTTGATGATCATAGGCCTTAAATTTTTCAAAATATGCCTCTAAATCATTTTGAAAAAGAATGGCCACAAAATTTAAAAAGTAGGTCACCATGACCTACTTTTGAGTCAACATGATATGAGGTCCTTAGATGCACCAACTGACAAGATTTGATGATCCTAGTCCTTATAGTCAGCAAAATATCAACATTTTAATAAAATGTAATTTTTGGTCAACTTTGAAGTGACCTTGAGACCACGCCCTTTGCCCCAGGGTAAATCCCCGTGCAAATTTTAATCTACAACATATCCTCATTCTTTTGTGTAAGTTTGGTGATAATCTGCACAGTGGTTCTTGAGAAGAAGATTTTTTAGCAACCAGTACTTTTGTTTCTATTTTCCTAATTATCTCCCCTTGTTAAAGGGTCACAACCCCAGTTTTAGTATAAAAGGGAGCCCTTGGGCCAAGGATACCCTGTGACAAATTTGACAATAATTGGCCAAGGGGTTCTTGAGTTATGGCCCATATTCTAAAAAGTTTACGCACACCGCACACCTCACACCGCACAAATGGCCATAGCATTAGCTCTTTGAGCCTTTGGCTCAGAAGAGCTAAAAATAACGACAAGTATATAAATCAACAAAAGTACTTTAAATAGTGTAAGTCAATTATTATTTATGTCAACAAGAATGTATAGTTTCAACTCAAATTTCCTCCATATGTACATGTTGTGAATGGTAGAGCCCGTCGCTTTCACTATGATTTTAAACATGACTTGTGTAGCGAAGATTTGAATGTTATTCTCTTTGGTCTCTACTTAAAAGCAAGGCTTCTTCATTTATGGTCACAATATCTCTGTTACTTTGTTTTCACTGTTTACAATATCGCATGTTTTAGTCTTTTTTTCAAGCGTTTTAAAAATTTAGATCATATATTATAAGGGAACCTGTAAATTCATCCCCAGAGGATAGCAGATGAAACAATGGAGATTAATTTTTTTTGTCGTACTTCATCAAAAATTGGTGTAATGAGCCCCCTTAAAAGATTTTTCCTTTGTATTCCTATGTGAAACTTTGATCACCCATTGTGGCCCCATCCTACCCCTGGGATCATGATTTGAACGAACTTGAATCTTACACTACCTCACAATGATTCCACATAAGTTTCATATTTTCTCGAGAAGAAGATTTTTATATGATGCCATTAATTTTTAACAAATTCATAATTATTTCCCCTTGGAAAAAGATGTGGCCCTTCATTTGAACAAACTTGACTCAAGGATACTTTCTGGCAAGTTTGGTTGAAATTAGCCCAGTGGTTCATGAGAAGAAGATGAAAATGTCAAAAAGTTTATGACACCACCAACAACAATGACAATGACAGACAACAGACAAATTTCAATCAAAAAAGCTCACTTGAACCTTCAGCTCAGATGAGCTAAAAACATCTGTAAAATGCAGAAAAATTATCCAATCACAATGAAAATAACAGGTGCACACCTTCAAATGGTGAATAATTAGTGTACAAATTTTCAGACAAATTCACGCAATAGTCTCCGAGAAAAAGCCCAGACAAAATCACATCTACAGACAGATGGATATGTTGATTCCAATATATCCCCCTAAACTTCTTTTGCGGGGGTATAATAGATATTCTAAAAGCAGCACAACTCCATGCAATACCTGCTGCATGGTATTTGTTTTATAGAGAATTACTTCAACACAAGTATTACTTACATAAAATTCTTTAGAGGCCTCAAACAACATAGCACCTGGTTCCATTGAACCTATTTTGAAAATCTTCTCTGTGACATCTGAAATGAATTAATACAATCATATTTATTTCAGACCTACTCAGTTCAGAGTGCCAAGTAGGTGTCAAATTACCTCTTTGTCTGCTTTTCATTGAAACTTGATAAAGAGGAGATGTTTGTGAAACACTTATGCCCCCCCCTCCAAATAATTGGAATTTTTCCAAGTCCAAGAAGCATAACTCTGTCAAAAATTGCTCGATCGTACCCAAAACAGAACTTGACCTAGACATTTTTATGATAAATCTGTATACCAAATTTCATTTCATTACGTGCAACCTCTGTGAAGAAAATGAACGGAAACTGTAAATAATTGGAATTTTTCTAAGTCCAGGGGGCATAACTCTGTCAAAAATTGCTTGAATTACCCAAAACAGAACTTGACCTAGATATTCTTATGATAAATCTGTATACCAAATTTCATTTCAGTATGTGCAACCTCTGCGAAGAAAATGAACGGAAACTATTGGTGGACGGACAGACAGACTGACCCACAGCAGCAAAGCAATATGCCCTCCCTTCTTCGAAGAGGGGCATAACAAGAGTACTGCCAACCATAATTATACATAATCATCAGGCCCACTATTTTGATTTACAATTCCAAGAGTCAATCTTTTCTGTACACAAGAATTTCTCAAAAGTAGAATGAAAAGAATTGAATTTAAAAAAAGTATTATCATGGATAGTTGAAGGAAAATGAGTAATTCATTTACATTACCCCCCAACTCAGAAGCACAAAGAACACAAAAATATCGGGTTGGATTGAGTATTGTGCAATACGGTAGTTGGTTGATGGAAGCTCTCCTAAATCGAATGACTTTTACCTATGCTTCTACTGTGCAATATGGCGACCAGTATAATTGTGTGGAGTTTGCTGGATGACGATGTAAATGAAAATCAAGATTTTGTCGATTTCACCAACAAATTGATTGTGTTAGGAGTACATGTAACAACAACAGCAATGGTGAAATATGTAAATCATCCAAATATTTTCGAATAATAATATAATAATATTCAAATATGTTTGTCAGTCGAAATGTAGACTTGGGCCATTTTTGGATAATTTCCCTTAACTATAGAGATGGTTACTTTTAATCAGTGTATTTTTATGCGTAACAACAGTGTTGAGAGGAACATGTAAATATCTTTATCATTTATTTGCATTATAATTTTAGATCCCGTTAGGGTTATTATACCTGTGATGGTGACCAGGCTTGGGGTATAATTCTTAATGTAATGGTAATGCATTGCATTGCATTACTTGTGCGTCTTTAGGTACAATTTAGATTTATTTTTATTTATATACTTAATATTTATAAATTATATTTCTCTAGAAAACAATAAATTGTCAGATACTTACATAATTATTTATTTATTATTTTATAATATATTTATTTTCATCAATTATATCTTATAAAAATTGATTTAAACATGTACAGAATTTTATTCATACAATGCATATTTTTTTCAGGCAGGTTGTTTTAAAAAAAAAAAAAAAAAACAAAAAAAAACAGAGATTAACTGAAAAGATTACAATCAAACTTTTTCTGTATTTTTTTCCATTTCTTAAGAAAAACATATTTAGTTAATTCATTTATTTCATTTAATATTCCCATTCACATTTATTTCAAATCTTTTTCTGTCTTTATAAGAAATTAGAAAATTTTTTTACCTCTTCCTATACGTACATGCAGGTACATGTACGTGAATCAGAAAAAAATCTATCATATGATTTGTAGTTCTTATTTATATGTCTAAACTTCATTACGAGACATATTTTTTCATTCTTTCGTTGAATTCTGCATTTTGAATTTCTACGCCTTGACATCTTTTTTTCTTAATTGCCTTAAGATTATAAATTTATTTAATGTTTGATATGTACTTGTAAGCAGTGGCCCTCCTGTATCTACAAGTATAATCATCCACCTGCTGAGGAGTTTTTTTTGGGAGTGTAAAGAGCAGTGAAGGTTCCGTCTTGTTTTTAACCAACCATTAGTTAAAGGGTTGTCACGAGGGGGGGGGGGGGGGGGACATGCTAATGAACAAAGTTGATGTTAAAGAATTCAATGCATATTATTAGTATTATTTAGGGCTGGGTATTGGTTGGGAATTTCGTTTTGCGATATATTACGATATATAGAACTGTATTGCGATATGTATTGCAATATTTTAATAACAGTTCAAATTCTCTTTTCTTATTTTATTAAGCTCCATTTATAAGCAGAGTGTATAAAACATTTATAAATACGTTGTAACAGAAAAGTTTTAGTTGATTTCACTACATTTTGGCAATGAAATGAAATGAAACTGTAATTGTAATTGATATTTCGTCTAACATGAAAAAATACTTTATATAAAATCTCTATAATTTGCAAAAATCCCTCAAAGATTGAAATTATTTGCCTGAGAAATATTTGACACACACTAAAGTGGGCAAAAAGAGTCATTTTCTCATACTATAATGCTATTTTTCGATATGAGTGGGTCTTCGCTCCACCTTTTTGAAAGTTAATCCTCAAAGTTTGCATAAAAATATATTTTTTTTGGTTACCAAAAATATGGAGCAATGACCCACTATACCTTAAAAATATACTTTTATGACATAACATTCCCATCTTTTCGAGAAATACTTGAAGTCCATTAAGTCAAGGGTCATATCACAAACATGATTTAAATGCCACTCTTCATCAGGACTTGTGTAGTCTAGTGGTTAGCGTGCTAGTCTCGAAAGAAAATAATACTCAGGATTTTTATTGCCAGGGTTCGAACCCCATGAATACCACATATTTATTTTTTTAATAAAAGAATAAATTTTGCCGAGAAAATTTTCCTCAGAAAAGTTTTGTTTATCGTAATTTCATAAATTTCAATAATGAGAACTTTACTCTAAATACTAAATTCACAAACTGAACATGATTTTTATATATCTGAAGCTATAGGCTTTTTGCACGCTATGTTCACCCATCTCCTTTATTATAAATAATTATATATAAATTATTTAAGTATGTGATTTCAACAATCCTTCGAAAGAGGCTTCAGTCTATCATATCAGCAATTGTCAGTCTACACCATCCATTTTGGAATACCGATCCCGTTGTATTTTCATAGTTCTTAAATTTCAGTTTTTGTGGTTTCCTTTATTTCATACAGTGTCAAAATACATTGTCATGAGCTCATAAACATGTATAACTGTTAATTATCAAACCCTGCCTCTGTAATTTCAAAAGACATAAGTTAAATTTAACCCTCCGCAGTATATTTCACAAAATAGGTCAAAGGTCAAGGTCAAGTGGACTGTAACGCTGGTATTTTTCAAAATGTTTTATGACAAACAGTGCACATTCTAAATAGCATAGACTTACCTCATAAATATCAAAATGGAGTTGTATATCGGCATTATTAGTTATTTTGAAAAGTAGGTCAAAGGTCAAGTTCAAGGATATCTAGGTCGGAAGCCATGGAAAAATACAAAAGCCATAGTGTCAAGCTATATGTGCAAATTATCAAATCCATACCTCTTACATTTCTCGCGATATAAGGTGTGACAGACGGACGGACAGCAAGACAGACGCCAGGTAAATTGATCGCTAAGTGCTGCTCTACTCTGCAGGCGACACAAAAATGTTTGTTTGATTGTCTCTTTGTTGTTTAACGTCCCTTGAGCTGCCAGCATTTGCCAGTGGAGGGCTGCAAATTCAGACCTATACTCGACACTCAAGGCCATTGAGCAGTGGGGGATTTTTTTCATGCCGGCACCTACTGCTACACGGGACCTCGGTTTATACGGCCTCATCCGAAGGACCATACTCCACGTTCTGTAGTGAAATTGTTTGTTTGTTTGTGTGTTAACGTTCCCGTCGAGATTTTTCACTCATATATGGAAACGCCACCACTTGCCGGTGGATGGCTGCAAATTCAGACCTATACTCGACACTCAAGGCCATTGAGCAGTGAGGGATCTCTTTCTTGCCAGCATCTACTGCTACACGGGATCTCGGTTTATACGGTCTCAAGCAAAGGACCGGTCTCTATGTCCCGCACAGGGAGTCGAACCCGCGACATAAAGATTAACTCCTTACTCCGCGACTCTAGAGCAAACGCTCAAACCACTGCGCCAGGTGGGCGACGTGTGGTATTCGAAACCACGACTACGAATCGTAGGGGTAGAAATATTTTGATAAAGGTACTATCATTATGAAAATCATGTTCTGACTTAAGCCTGTAGAAAGCAATTTCATTTTTTCTGGGACGGGGCACAATCAATCAATTTTTATATATCTTAGCAAAAAAAAAAAATAATAATAAATAAAAAAATAAAACCATAATTGCGGGGAAGGGGGGGGGGGGCACAACCATATAGCTCTAAGCTATATAGTGACTAAGAAGGAATAACTTGTCATTTGTCAAAGTCTTTTACCTAAACTCTTCACTTTTAATTGTCAATAAAGATTCTTGTTACAAAGTGAAAAGTTTACATTTATATGTAGTACAGGTATCCATCTCATATGCATAATCTATTTTATCAATCATTTTATCCTAAAGGGAAGTGAAATCTCAATCAAAATTTTTCACAAATACTGGACTCTCTGATTGATTTAAGGAATAACTGTCTAATTTTTTGGATTCATGATGTGATCAATTGAGTGGCTTGCGTGATAATTTGCATAAACGCCGAAGGTGTTTATGCATAAAATTATCACGCAAGCCAATCGATTGATCATCGTCATGAATCCAAAAAATCTGACAGTTATTCCTTATATTTACATGCTCCTGATTCTGGAAATTCCCGTGCTAATAGCCCCACTTCTGTCTCTATTTTTCCCGCCCCGCACGTGATTTTTTTTAACCGCGCCTATCGACGAACCAGTAGATTTATGTAGAAATAAAGTATTTTTACAATTTGTAATTTTATCTCGGACAAAGACATTGGAAATGTAAATATTATAATATACATGTAAGAACGGATCGTCAATTAGGACTGCAGGTTTGATAAATTTACAGCA